AGTCTACTGTGATATATTCAAATTACGAATATAAAAATCGATTTAAAGCAGAAAAAATTATGGGATTCAGGTGACCAAAAGTTAAAATCGCGAAGAGGTACAGAGGCCTAACTGAAGAAGCTACAAAACTAAATAAGCGACGAAAAATTCGGATAATCGAATTGTTAGAAATGAATTCGTTTAATACTTTAACAATTCATAGGATTTAGAAATGTTTTCTTACCTTTCGATAAACATGTCTTATGATATAAAGAAATATCGAAGCTGTATTCCAAAATTTCAGATAGCTGGTCGCCATATTGAAAAGTAAAAAAATGATGTCATTGTGCCACCAAAAGTCAGTGGTAACTTCCAAATATGGTAATAAAAGGTCAAAGGTGAACAATTGATTATCCATATACCGGGCCTAATGAAAAGTAGTGTAAAATTTTGTCAGGTGATGGGGCCAGCAAGGTCAAGCCCAGGTTAAGTCAATAGGAAAATTATACAGATTCCCAAGGTCATTGGAGTCTTTTTTTTTTTTTTTTTTTTTTTTTCAAAATATGCATAAAGTATGTATAAAGTTATTTCAAGTTTAAAAAAATCACACATTACATTAATATTTGTCTGATTTCATACATTAACTTTGGAAGTTTCAAATATCTTAGAAATAGTAAAAATAAATTATTTACATCAATGTTTTTATGTGTGATCATTGTTGATAATCGCGTCTATTTATATACTCTCTGTTATCAAGTCTTTTTATTCCGATGAAAAACGACGATAGGAATTTTGTCTTAACACTTTGAAAATAAATCAAAAAAGGAATTTTACTGCTGTTTTTACTAATATCCATGATTTATGTGTGTGTTTGTTTGAGTGGTATTGGGTTCATTCTACTATTTGACTGTCGAGCTGAGCAGACGTATTAGAAGCTAAAAGAAGAAAATGGCCCGTACGAAGCAGACTGCCCGTAAATCCACTGGAGGCAAGGCCCCAAGAAAACAGCTGGCCACCAAGGCTGCCCGAAAGAGCGCCCCAGCTACCGGCGGTGTAAAGAAACCTCACAGATACCGACCCGGAACCGTGGCTCTGAGAGAAATCCGTCGTTACCAGAAGAGCACCGAATTGTTGATCCGAAAACTTCCCTTCCAACGATTGGTGAGAGAAATCGCTCAAGACTTCAAGACTGATCTTCGATTCCAGAGCTCAGCTGTCATGGCTCTCCAAGAAGCCAGTGAGGCTTATTTGGTCGGTCTTTTCGAAGATACCAACTTGTGTGCCATCCACGCCAAGAGAGTGACCATTATGCCCAAGG